GCCCACCTAATTTTTGTATTTTTAGTAAAGATGGGGTTTCACCAGGTTGGCCAGGCTGGTCTCAAACTCCTGACCTCAGGTGAAGCTTCGTGATTTTAACAGGGTGGAAGAATATATCCACTGGCTTGTATGCTGCATATGACTCATTATACCAGCCCCACTCTGTAACTTGAGACCAGGATCCAAGGCAGAAGAATTCCCTGTGGGTTTACTCTGAGAAGTGATTCATGGAATTGGCTTAGTGGGGGCAGGATATACTTGTCTGTGCCCTGCAGGAAAGGGGGATGACATATGTGGAAGTTTCAAAGCAAGAAATAGATCAGTCTCCAACAGAATACAGAAAGCTGTCCTAACAGCTACATGAAAAACAGCCTCAGTACCTGAAATAAGTCACCAAATAAACTTTATTCCAATTTAATCTTTGATTTTCTTGTGCCACGTTAACTTAGACAACTTGCTGGAGAACACAGCTTTCAAGCAAAATCCTGAAATTTAAATATGTATGCAGTGACAGACACAAAGAAAACAAGAGAGAATCGCAGCAGAAGCACAACCCCCTCGGTTAGGTAGCGCCATGGAAGCTCGTTCCTCAAACTGATTAAAATACACACTTTTCTTCCAAGTGACTTGGTTCCTGTTTTTGAGAAAGTCTTGAATAGTTTGTTGGATACACAGAGCAAGACCAAAGAAGAGAAGGATGAACTCAAGCCCAAAGGATCCTGTGAAAACTCAGTATTCACACACAAGCTCATTGCAGAAAACCACACATGGCCTTTTCCCTTTTCATTAATCTAATCGGCTGCTATAGTCCTCTTCCACACATGAAGAGTCAGAGGCACCCTTCTATGCAGAGAACTCAGCATTCCAACTGTCTAATCAAGTTAAATCAGTGTACAGTGGCATTTAGTCTCTCGGCTCCAAAAGTTGATATATTTAGATGTAGGGTACTTTCTGAACAAGCATGTAGAGGAAATGATATAATGAAGAGCGGAACAAATGAATCGAGTTAGTAAATATTATTGAAAACCTACACTGCACAGAACACTATTCCCAGCTCTAGGAGAGGGAGGGAGGGCAGGGAAAGGGTGAAGATAGAAAAAGAGGCAGAGAAGGAGAAAGAAGACAATGTACAAAAGGAAAAGGAGAAAAATCCCTGAAAAAGGCTGAAACCATGATAAAGTCTCGATAACTGGAATTTATAAGAAGACAGAGAAGATAATTAGTAGATAGAAATATATCCCTAGCCGTTCTGTGAAAACTTACTTTCTGAGGAATTGAAATAATGAAAACAGGATTGGAAGTAACCAAGGATGTCAGCCACAGCTGACAATAAAAGGATGTCACTAATCAAGCTGTTCCATGTTCTGAGGCGGTGAGAAAGGCCAGCTCCCAATCATTAGTGCTGTTTCTGTGGGGAGCTTGAAGACCTTCTCCCAGTCTGTCCTTTGCTGAGAACTTCCTGGTCACTTTTAAAGTTCTCAATACCTCCTTTGGTGGCCCAAAGTAGCAAGAGAAAAGAAAAAAATTTTCTTGCTGGCAAATATCCCTCAAATAATATTTGGTTAGACACAAATGGAAGGTATGAATCAACAACAATAATGCAGGGGTGGATGTAGGCTGACTGTACACAGGCTCCCTGATGGCCCAGCCAGTGGCATTTGTGGAGGGTATACCCACTGCACTGAATATGAGGGGAATCGGACACCAGCCAGTCATCACACCAGCCAGGGTCATCACAACAGCCAGGGTCATCACAACAGCCAGGGTCATCACTCCAACCAGGGTCATCACACCAGCCAAACAGCCACCACACCAGCCAGGGTCATCACAACAGCCAGGGTCATCAAACCAGCCAGGGTCATCACAACAGCCAGGGTCATCACAACAGCCAGGGTCATCACACCAGCCAGGGTCATCACATCAGCCAGGGTCATCACACCAGCCAGGGTCATCACATCAGCCAGGGTCATCACAACAGCCAAACAGCCACCACACCAGCCAGGGTCATCACAACAGCCAGGGTCATCACACCAGCTAAACAGCCATCACACCAGCCAGGGTCATCACAAGAGCCAGGGTAATCACACCAGCTAAACAGCCATCACACCAGCCAGGGTCATCACAACAGCCAGGGTCATCACAAGAGCCAGGGTCATCACACCAGCTAAACAGCCATCACACCAGCCAGGGGCATCACAACAGCCAGGGTCATCACTCCAGCCAGGGTCATCACAATAGCCAGGGTCATCACTCCAGCAGGGTCATCACAACAGCCAGGGTCATCACAAGAGCCAGGGTAATCACACCAGCTAAACAGCCATCACACCAGCCAGGGTCATCACACCAGCCAAACAGCCATCACACCAGCCAGGGTCATCACAACAGTCAGGATCATCACACTAGCCAGGGTCATCACAGCAGCCAGAGTCATCAAACAGGCCAGAATCATCACACCTGCCAGAATAATAACACTAGCCAGGGTCATCACACCCTCCACAGTCATCACAACTTCCAGAGTTACACACTAGCTAGAGTCATCACACCAGCCAGAGGGCAGCAGGAGGGGGTCAGGGAAGGGAAGATGATTCATCGGGCACAGGCCAAAAGGAGTGAAAATAAAAATAAGGAAGAGCTGGAGGGATGTGAAGATGGTATATTATTTTTATTGTAAGTGACACCAGTGAAGGCAAGTATTTCAGGATAACCAACCATCCTGGCTGGCTCAGGACTGAGAGTTTTCATGGACTTTCAGTGCTAAAACTATCCTTCTAGACTAACCAGAACAGGCAATCACTGTAGGTATTAAACAGAAAACCTAAGAGGAAAATGTGTACCTTTAAATTTTTCAGTTTGCGCTTGGGTTTGTGAAATGTTAACCTCTTCCAGCTGCCTGAAGCTTTTTAGGTCTAGGCTTAATTCTCCTGACAACAGTACTACCTGCATAGCAGAACGCATGAAGAGTTCACTGTGGATACAAAGTCACCAACGTGGAAAGAACGGAACTGAGTACAGACTAAGGATGGCTTATCTGGATTACGGAAAAATCTACATTTTATATTTTTGAGTAAATAAATGTATTATTTTCTGATATATGCACTTCAAAGGTGCCAATGCTGACAACTCAGATTTGTTTTTTGTTTTTTTAGGAGACAGTGTCTCGCAATATTGCCCAGGCTGGAGTGCAGTGGCTATTCACAGGCCTGATCCCAGTACTGATCAGAACAGAAGTATTCACCTGCTTCATTTCCAGCCTGGGCTGGCTCACTCCTTCGTAGGCAACCTGGTGGTCTCCCACTCCCAAGAAGTCACCATATTGATGCTGAACGTGGTGTGGACATCCAATCGGCACAGCTCCCAGAACTCCCAGGCTCACACGATCCCCCTGCCTTAGCCTCCCAAGCAACTGGGACCACAGGTGTGTGCCACCACACATGGCAGATTTCTGAAGGGCACTGCTTCAGGGAATAGATTTAAGTGATATGTTATTGGCAATTTTATTGCTTTTAAGTAAATGTATACTTCTAAAATACGGGGGGAGCTCGAAAACAGTTTGGCTGAGTCTTTAGTCACAGAGTATAACTTCTCTTTATAAGGTGTCTCTGCTCATCAGCAGAGGATGGAAGTCATGCCAGAGATGCCTTGTGCAAAAGAGCATGACTGATGTCAAAGGAATGCGCCATTACACCTGGGCGTCCAGGGCCCTTCCGCTTTTTCACTATGAGCCAGCCTGAAAGTGGTCTCAAGACATCTGAGGCTGCCGAGGCTGCCCTGAGCTCTAAAAGTAGATTACAGTGGATGCTGGGGACATACACTTGCAATACCCCAAAGAGGTGTGGCATGGTGATGGCCTGGAGAAGAATATGGTCTTGCTCGGGTGTGAAACATTTTTTTCTAATAAAATAATTCAACCAATGAGCAATGTTATAAGTCTGGACTAGATGCCCACCAGGGTCATCAGTCTTAATAGCCACTTTTGAGGACTGGTTTTTCCAAAGGAAGCCCCAGCTTTAGACTGAGTTCCCCCAATGCATCCGGAAGTCATCACCACCCTCCCAAGCCATAGCCCGACACAGGACTCAGATACACGCTCAGGCTGTGGAGAGGCGCCTCTGTGTTTATTTCTAATACTAGAAACTGAGTCATGTTCTGCATTGAAGAGCTTAATCTTGGGATCAAAGAAACAGACCTTCCCTGTTTAAAACCTAAAAGTAGATAGACAATAAATAAGATCTGACTGTATTAAAATTTTTACAAGCTAAATGGATAGGGCCATCTTGAATAATCTGTGTGCTCATTGATGCATAACGAGGTACTGTGAACTCAGGCCCCACGCCTTTGTGCCTTCTGGTCAGGACCCAAACTGCAAGTGGAGGCTAAAAGAAAATAGTGTCTGGCCGGGCGCAGTGGCTCACGCCTGTAATCCCAGCACTTTGGGAGGCCGAGGCGGGTGGATCACGAGGTCAAGAGATCGAGACCATCCTGGTCAACATGGTGAAACCCCGTCTCTACTAAAAATACAAAAAATTAGCTGGGCATGGTGGCGCGTGCCTGTAATCCCAGCTACTCGGGAGGCTGAGGCAGGAGAATTGCCTGAACCCAGGAGGCGGAGGTTGCGGTGAGCCGAGATCGTGCCATTGCACTCCAGCCTGGGTAACAAGAGCGAAACTCCGTCTCAAAAAAAAAAAAAAAAAAAAAAAAGAAAAGAAAATAGTGTCTGAAAAACTGGTCTTGTGAAATAAAACCTCTAAGGTGTCCACATGCCAAGAGTTTGTTGTTTGTGGACCAGCAATCACGAGCCACAGCACTGCCGGAGACCTTGTCAGAAACACAGACGCTCAGGCCCCCGAGCGGATGCACTCAACTAGACCTCGTCTGCAGCTGATTTGCAGGCACGTTCAAGTTGGAGAAGCACTGGACGGGAAAGCAGATCGATCGCAGGACTATGGGTCGTGATTTACTCTGCAGTACATTTGCTTAATTCAAATATTAAGGGCAGGAAATAATTTTATTTGATCCAGGGATGTCAAAGGTGAAACAAAAAGGCAGGGCCTGTTCTTATCGGTGCGGCTGAAACCCAAGCTGTGATCGCCGCTTAATTCTAAAAGCAACGATAAAATACGACGTTTGATAATGCCTCTTTCTTGGCAAAGCGCTTTGAATGTACATTATCCATATTGACTGGTGACCACTCCACTATCAGAAAATGACACACAATTACTATTTGAATCTTTATCAGTTACTGGATTTTCTGTCTCCAGTCGACACTGTTTCTCAGTCCCCCAAACGGGATTCTTATCCTAAATGTCTTCTCCAACCTCTGTTGTTCATTCAGCCTGGTGTCCCCTAGATAAGGGAGCACTGAAAACTTAAAAGAGAAACGACAAGTTCTGTGGACCATGTTTATTTACATTTCCTAGACAGTGCCCATTCAAACATCTTTTTGCCTTTTTGAAGTTTTAACTTTGAGAAGAAATGATTTGAACAAAGAAAAAATATGTATTGTCCACAGTCCTGGTAATTTTTGCTCCCATTGAGAAGAGTTACCTTCAGCAGTGCATCATAACTCTTCTGACTATGAGAATCATAGTACAGTCCTTGCCTTTTCTGTAGGTGGCAAAATTCAGTGGACAATTTTCCTGAAAGAAAATAAGCAAAATTTCTGTAGGATTTATATCTTTCTTTTGTATCTACTTATATATCCATGTATACAGTTTACTGTTTCCATTAAAAGAAAAAAAAAGGCTGAAGAGCACAGACAAGCCTACCGTAAATATCTATTTCGGCTGAAGTGTGAGGCTGGGATGTTCTGTCATTTTCTTCACTACGCAGAGGCTACATTAGTCTTTCTAAAAAAAATGCAAAGGGGGAGCTCCACATACTTGAGAGAAATTTTGCTGTACTCAGAATGATATGTGTGCTTTTTATGTTTATGAAACCACCATCCAGCAAAAAATAGCAGCCTAATATTTTGACATGAAGGTCATTTGAAAGTTTTACTGCCTGCAAGCATGATCCATTTTGTTGACAAAAAGCTCTCTAGGGCTTGCTAAGACGCCCCAGCAGGCTCAACTTTCTCCAAGTCTGGCATTTCTGCCTCTTCCCTTTTCACCTCCTCCCACCAGACTAATTATCAGCTCATTAAGGCTGTCCTAATGAATTATGTTACAGCATTAGGAAAGGGTTTGGGCCAAATGTCCATGATGTCAGTGATGGGGGATGGGAAAGGGAGAGGGAGCAGGGGGTCACAGACGCTGGTGTGACCTCACTGGGCTCCCCGCATGCGCCAGAAACCGTAAAGATTTCAGCTGCTTTGGAGCTCACATTGCTGCAATCATGCTCTCGGGAGGAGCTGGCTTCCTCCTGTTCCTCGGCTTCACATACACATTCTCCTGAGAGTAAGGATTGCACATGTATGTCTGGTCAGGTGTCCGGTGTGATTGCACAGGGTAGAGAGGGCCTCAGGCATCCTACAAAGAACCAGGCAGGCCAGAGCTGGAAGGAGGTGGATTTTCTGTAGAGGCAGCCACACACCAACAGAGGAGGAGGGGAGAGCGTCCATGTAGCCTGTCTCTGTCTCTTTAAAAAACCCGCACATATAATTCTGTTCCTACTACTTGCTTATTTTGTTCTTTTGGCGTTCCAGCCAACAAAATAAGAATATCCCTGTTTTCCTTCAACCTTAAGGACACAGAAATCATTGCTGCCCTGAGAACAAAGATGGCCTTTTACGCTTCGCTTGTCCCTGGCATGGCATTAACCATAACAAAATGATACAGACAGCAGCTCCAAACTAAATCAGATCCCACAACCGAGTCGAAAAACGGCACTGCCAAAGAGCAAAGTGCAGTGATACATTTTAAATGCCAAATGTATTGCAAAGGGCTTGGTTTTTATTTTTCTCCTGCATTCAGGATTGTGTCAGTGATATCGATCATGAGGGTATTATTTTCTTATTGCAATAGTAGCCCACATCTCAAGCCTTCCATTTACCAAGTCTCAAGAAGAGGCACCCCAACCCCATAAAATCACGACAAGCATCTGACTCTGACAGTTGTTTTGTTCCTTTTTTTTCCTCTGGCTTATAATGATACAGATGCTGATTATCTTTATATAACCTCCCAAAGTAGCACCCAGCTGAGCTACTGAGCAACCGCACACAGGGGCCAGTTCAGCCTCTAATGAGAGACAACCACCCTGGAGTTGGAAGTACAGAGCTAATTAATTAGCATATTTGGCAAAGAATGCTTTGTAGCTAAACAGATAATAGAGATGATGAATATCACTCCTATGGACCTCTAAAGTTATTGGGGTGGGGTGGTTAAATGATGCTTTTCTGAGACAACACCATGGCAAAACTTCACTTTAGGGAAAAATTGGTTATTTTCACCAGTAATGTCCCTCTTAATGGATTCATTGCCTCTAAGCCAATGTAAATCTACGCAGCACTCTGAGCGGACATTTCCATGCAGATCCCCAAGTCTTTTAAGCAACACAGGTAATTTTAATCATGTCTCTAAAGAAGAAGCCACGGACACCTCGGAAGGGAAGAGCCTTCGAAGATTACGGGCTGTCAGCTACAAGACATATGGTTCACAAGTCCTCGGCCTCCTCCATTCACCTGATAGACTCCATGTAGAGAGTTTCTAGAAGGCACATTTCTTCTTCAATCTCTTTCTCACAGCCAACACAATTTAAGAACTTATAGACTGATGGTAGTTTAAATGTGGGGAAGGTCTGGGTGCATTGGCTCATGCCTGTAATCCCAACACTCTGGGGGGCTGAGGCAGGCAGATCACCTGAAGTCAGGAGTTCGAGACCTCCCTGGTCAATATGGTGAAACCCCATCTCTACTAAAAATACAAGATTAACTGGGTATGGTGGCGCACGCCAGTAATTCCAGCTACTCGGGAGGCTGTGGCAGGAGAATTGCTTGGATCAGGGAGATGGAGGTTGCAGTGAGCCGAGATCGCAGCACTGCACTCCAACCTGAGCACAGAGGGAGACTCCATCTCAAAAAATAAAAAATAAACGTGCGGAGGGAAGTATGTGAATGTTGGGCCAGGGAACACATACGTAGCACAGTGTCCACATCAATGTCTTCAGCCACACATGAGTTCATCTATATGGTGTTAGAAGAACTTTCTTTCCTCAAAATATCCAATTAGTAAGAACACATCCAGTCACACATTTAAAGAGTTTTGGTATCATCCTCCCTAAGAAAATGGACTTGATAATAATGCCTTAGGCACAGTAAGACACCACTGCGTGCCAGGCACCAGGCAAAGTGACCATTCACTGAATTCCCACAACTGCCTAGACATAGGAGCATCCTTTACAAATGGGGAAACTGAGGCCTGGGAAGGCTAAGTCACTGCCTGAGAGTGCAATGGTAAGCGGCAGTGGCAAGTTTTAAATGACGACCCCTGGTGCTAGAGCCCTCACCATTTTGTGTATGTATTTATTTTACTGTGGTGAGAACAGTTATGAAGTGCATCCTCAATGCTGTAGAGCAGACTCTGGAGCTTATTCGTCCTGCTGGACTGAAACTTTATACCTGCCGATGACTCACTCCCAGTTCCCCCTTCTCCGATCCCCCGGAAACCCCCATTCCCCTCTGATTCTATGAATCTGACTATGTTAGATGGCTGTATAAGTGGGATCATGCAGGACTGGTCTTTCTGTGACTTGCTTATTTCACTTCATGTAATATCCTCAAGGCTCATCCAAGGTACTGCATGTTGCAGAATTTCCTTCTTTTTTGAGGCTGAATGATATTCCACTGTGTATCTGGATAGCACCATTTCTTTATGTATTCATTGTTGATGGACACTTTGGTTGTTTCTACATCTTTTCTATTGTCAATAGTGCTGTGGTGTACCTGGGTGTGCTGGTATCTCTTCAAAATCTGGACTTCAATTCTTATATAAATGCCCAGAAGTGGGATTGTTGCATCATATGCCAGTTCTATTTTTAATTTTTTGCAGAACTTCCATGCTGTTTTCTGGGATGGCTGACATTTCCACCAATAGTGTGGCCAGGGACCCAGTGTCTCCCCATCCTCACTCACACTTGTCTTTTGCTTGTTTGATGTCCAGGTGCAAGCTGGTGCCTTGTCATCTGGGGCTGCACTGCCTCCCATCAGACCAGATATTCCCTAGAAGCGTGGCCCAGCCCTGTGACTGCTTATCCACTAGACTCTGCCTATTAACAGGACAAGGATGAAGTGTTGGCTTCTGCGTTGTTCCAGGGAGTGGGCAAGAAGGCCATGGCTGCAGGTGCAGGCCTAGAGAAAGGCTGGACTTTGTCAAGAGAAATCTAAGCCAGGGCCTAGCCAGGAGGGTCGGGCCAGCGTGCTGGGAGCCCGTGAGTGCTGGGGAGCCACCCTGCCCTGCTGGGAGGACACCTGCGCCAGGAGCACACCTGGCTCCATGCAGCAGTGGCAGCATTCCTGTCCTACAAGACCCTCCTGGCCACTGCTGGCACGGGCTTTGGTGGCTGTGGAGAGAGTGTGGGTTTTGCTTGGGGTTGGGTTTCTTCGTCTGGAGCACTGGAGCCAAGAAGGACCCATTGTGCTGTCCTGGTCTGGAGAAGGCCCAGGGGGGCTCCAGAGCCATGCAGCTGGCACCCCTCTGCCAGGCCATGGGTGGCTACCCGGGAGCTGGGCTCAGGTGCCCATGAAGCCACCATGCCACCCTCACAGGGCCAGAGGCCATACCTTGCACCCTCCTTGGCAACCCCCTCTTTTCTCCATTCCTTTCCAGTGCCCTAGAGTGAGGCAGCCACATGCATAGCTCCTTGTAGCAAGGCTCATGGGGCAGGAGAGGCCCACAGGCTCAGGAGCCCTGTGTGAGGAGGCCGGACCAAAGCCTGGGGTTGTTGGATGCACGCTTGCTGGATCAGAGGGATACTCCAGGCGAATAAACCAGTCCTGCTGTGCAAGGAGCTACCTTTCAGGCCCCTTCGAAAAGATCTGAAAAAATATGAGGGAATGAGCATGCATGAATACCAGCCGCAGGACCAGCCCTAATAAACAACCCAGGGCTGACCCCCCAACCCCTCTTCCATGGGCAGCCTGGAGAGGGTCCATCAGCATCACCCCGTCATTGGCCAAAGACCTTGATGCTTACATAAATGCAAACACCCCAAGAAGAGAATACGTGTCAGGGCATCTCAAGTTTCACAGCAGTAACTTGGGGGTGCCTTTTTAATTCTAGATGTCATTTAGTCCTTTTGAGTATTCTGCTTATGGCAGAGTCAGTGTGGTGTCACTCCCAAATCACTCTGTGGAAACGGCTGCCCGCGTGCTGAATAAGCCTTTGAGGATATTCTTTGCTGGTTTGGGTTGACTCCCCAACGCGACATATTTTCTAGTGACGTGAGGGCCTCCAAGGGGAAGAAATGATAATATGCACTATTATTTTGCTCTTAATAGCTACTGGTAAATAATAGAACATTAGCTCTATTTTGGTCCACTGTGCTTAAAATAGTTGCTTTGGAGCCAAAACAGAAGTTAGACATCAGAAAATCAACTTCAGAAGATTCCTGTTTTAAGAGTAGCTCACTCTAAAACCAAAAATGACAGAGCAGAGCACCAAGGAAATCAGAATATAAAGAGTTCCAACGGTTTTGTTTTTTTTTTTTTGTTTTTTTTTTTTTTGACAGGGTCTGGCTCTGTCACCCAGGCTAGAGGACAGTGGCAAGACCGTAAGCATGCACTGCAGCCTTGAACTCTTGGGCTCAAGATCCTCCTTTTCCTGCCTCAGCCTCCCAAGTCGTTGGGACTACAGGTGTGCACCATCACACCAGGAAATTTTTGTTTTTGTTTTTGTTTTGGTAGAGACAGGGTCTCGCTGTGTCACCCAGGCTAGTCTTGGGCTATGTTACCTGGCTAGTCTCCATCTCCCAGCCTCAAGAGATTCTCCCACCTTGGCTTCCCAAAGGGTTGGGATAAGAGGCATGAGCCACTCCACCCAGCCAATTCCAACACAGGCTGGGCAGAGTAATGCCTCCCAGAGATGTTCACATCTTATCCCCAAACCTGAGACTATGTTAGGCTACCCGAGAAAGAGTAATTGAGGCTGCAGGTGAAATTAAGTTTGCTAATCAGCTGACCTTCAAGTCGGGAGATTTTCCTGGATGGTCCAGGTGGGCCACTGTGATCACAGGGTCCACAAAATTGGAAGAGTGAGGCAGACGAGTAGGTTGGAGAGATGAGCTGTGATGGGAGGAGGGCTGGACCTGCCGTTGCTGGTTCTGGAGATGTAAAAAAAGTCCAGGAGCCACAGACGGCAGGCAGCCTCTAGAAGCTGGAAACGGTAAGGGGACAAATTTTACCCTAGAGCCTCCAGAAGAAACCCGCTGCACTGACCCCTTGATTTTAGCCCAGGGAAACCCATGCTGAGTTTCTAACCACAGGACTGTGGGATGTGGCATTTGTTTGTGGTAATTTATTATAGGATCAGTGGGAAACTAATGCAGGAGGAGACGGTGAATGAGAGGATCTACTGCTTACCGAGCACTTCACGTGCCAAAGCCTAGGCTAAGCTGAGCTAAGTGTGGTACTTGCATTCCTTCACCCATCACACTCAGGGGCCTCGCAGGAGACGGGCACTGGCATCACCCCCACTGGCTGAGTAACGGAAGCCTGGCCAGTTGAAAAGGTGTGATTTCGGAGCCCCGGCTCCTATCCACTTATCCATGAGCTCCCTCCATGCTTCTGTTGAGTAAAGAAGACAAAAATTAATGCCCTTGTGGAATGATGGCCCACTACCCAGAACCATCCACCATTATTCAGAGATTTACACGTTCTAGGTGAAATCATAATCCTGGTGAGCACATCTCTGAGTGACTGGGAAATTATGTCAACGTCTCAACCATGCAATATTGGAGACTTCCTAGATGCCTCCGTGGAATTACCTTACATGCAGCGTTCACAGTGACTCTCTCCAATACTGTTTTCTGACTGAACCAAATTTGACATTCATAATGACCCAAGAAAAGTCTCTCCCTAATGACATCAATGATGCCACAGAAATCAACGGTGACAATAATAGAAATGCTGTCTGTAGCATGAAGGCAGGTAACTCCTTCCCACAGTCACTAGAGTGCAAGAAGTCAAAAATGCAAGACCCAGCAGAAGCTACGGAGTTTGACCCTTCAGGGCTGAGATGGCAGATTCTGTAAGAGGAAGCATCTTTTTAAGAACATGGAGTCTTCAGATCCTTCAGAAAAAAAATTCCAAGTACATGTCATTAGGATTCTTTAGTGAGAACAAAGCATGAGTGATATTCTGCAGTGTCAGAGACAGTCAGATGTCTGAATGTAGCAGTGCCGCGGGGAAGTGAGTGCCTGGGCAGGGACCACATTTCCCAGTTCCTCTTATATCTAGGTGGGGCCATGATACCAGTTCTTATGAGTTGGAAGCAGAGGTAATGTGTGGTTTCTGGGGGCTGTATTAAGAGGCTAATGTACCTTCACCAACCCGCTTTTATTCCCCCTTCACTGTGAACATGGAAGCCACATGGAAAAGATAATGGAGCCATAATAGGAAACGAGCTTGGATCCCTGAGTCACCACGTGGAAGTCTGTCTACTGAACAAGCTTGCTGGACTATCACATAAGCAATAAATTCAACTGAATTAACTGCAGTTTCAGGGCGTATCTGTCACAGCTAGTAGCATTATCATAATTAACACATGTATTCAGAAGGCCATGAGGAGCCACCTCAAAACTTTTGGGATTTGGCAGCAATTCTCATGAGTACCTGGGAGAGAAAGTTGGAAGTTATTTCTATGTGTGGTACGTAGCAATACAGAATCCTTCATAATAGTTTCTCACAAGGCCTTTTGCCAGAGTTATTAAGGTCACCAATCTTTAAAGCTCAAAGTTGTGTCTGTCGGCCTGGAATTGATTCTGATACAGAAAAGGCTGTAAAGGTGCATATTATTTGCCTCACCCTAAGAATCAATCGATATTGATTTCGTAAGACCTTTTCAGGGGAAGAACATCTTGCTCATAGATGATATCATCTAAAAACAGCTCAAAATGCTTCTAATTCCAACTCAGAAATGTGCTTCAAGAAGCAGCTGTGCTAGTATTATTTGCAACATATAGATCGGGGGGAAAAAATAATGTTTCAATGGGTCTTCATATCTATACATCTGCTGAGCCTTAGAAGGTTGTGCAGGATAGAAGGGGGAGACTGTCTTGGGCATTCCCATTGCACCAAAACACCCTCAAGCAAGTAGTTAGGTTCAAAAGATGATGCAGTCCATCAAGGATACCCTGAAGCATCTTGTCAAAAGGAATTGAGCCCAGCTTGGCCTTTAAAACCATGCCTGAGCCAGCAAGGCTCAGCCCTACAGCAACTGGAAGCCTTGTTTCGGAGTAAATGTCCCTATGGCAGGAAGAAAGGCTGACCTTTTTCACCTTCGGAGGAATGTTTTCACCTTGTCTCTGAGTGACTGACATCACTCAGAGAGGAAACTGACTCAGACTCAGCAGATCTTGATTTTGCTGCGGCTTCGCTCAGCACCGAACAGCTTTGTCCCAGCTGTGCTGAGGTCTTGGCCCGGAAGTGTGCGAGTCCTCTCTTGTCTCATGCAGGACTACGAGGGAGTTGGCAGGCACTCCCAGAAGGGCCTCCGTAACCATCCAGCCCAGCTCCACACTTTCCAAGGGTGCTATTTTCTTAGCCCCATCTCCATTCCTTCCTTCCATGCTGGCAACCGCAGATACTTACTATGAGGTTTCTGTTGCTATATTACTATCACGTTGACCATATGAAATTGTCATTTTTATAGATCAAAACTAGGCAAATATGTGTCATTTTGTGAGATTTGACTTAATACAAGATATTTACAGGGCAAATGAAACCCCAGCATTATAACAGCTGCAGCACCTTGAGCTCCTGCTGCAGCACAGGCCCCAACGCCACATGCTGCCCACACAGTCTCCATCACAGAGTGGCCGCAGCTACTCGCCTCCACCAAATGCCCTGCCTCCCTCCTCGAGAGTAAACATCCATACACAAAGGCACATCACAAATCTTGAAGGGGATGCAAAATCCATCTTGTATATTTTATAATGCAAATTATTGTCTTTAAAAACTGTTAAATTCTTGCTATCAAAAGAAATACAAAATCCAGGTAAGTAAAATGTAATCTTTACATATCCAAGAAATGCTGCAATTTCAGATAACGCCATATTTAAGACATTGACCCTGCTGGATGCTCAACCAGTTTCCTGGTTGTTGTTAAGCAAAACCAAAAGCCAATTTCTTATTACCGGATGAACTCCTGTGACCAGCACCCAGCACAACTGCTGGCAGGCTCACAATCCTGATGAACAGGAATAAATCACAGTTATTCTCTCTGACATAAAATATTAAAGTTAGTTTGCACCTTTTAGATGTATGCCTTACCTAATGCGTGACTATTAAAAATGTGTGGCACTCTCATCCCCACTTCAGTAAAGAATATTTTTTCTTATTCAAGCTCCATCTGCCTTGTTTCAATGCCATTTTATGAATTTTTTAATCCTTTAGATTCTAGTAGTGAACATCATCAGTAAACAATCTCAGAAAAACAGAAAAGAAAAAGAAGGTATGTGTTCTAGGCAGAAGGTGCTGGGGCAAAGCCACGGGCCCAGATCGACAACGCTAACTACTATCAGTATTTCCCAGTCCAGCTTCTGCATCTAGCCTTGTGCAGATTTCAATTCCTATATCTGTAAAATTAAGGGGAAAAGCCTTTTATCTTCCTCGTCCATAATTTGTCAGTTTTAAAAGTGAATGAACCATCATGCTTTGAAAAGAGCTCTCCTCTTGAAGGAAAACCGGTTTAATTATTCTTTTTAATAGCAATCTTCTACTGATCCATCTGCATTTAGGGTCGGCAGCTGAGGAATGAAAGGGGGTGTCCCATGCATTTCTGTCGGTGGCTTCTTTAACTGCACCGTTGGCTGTCATGTCCCGTGGAAGCCCTCCCCAGTCTGGCTGCAAACTGTGCCCTGTGAAACCTGAACAAGCTGCCTTCTTCCCTCAGTTAAAGATCCTGCCTGGGAATTGTCTCAGGTGGTTTAAGGATCCAAACTTCATTCTTTTTGTCATGTCAGTTATTGACCAGACATCACTATCCTCCTGGTACAGTACTACTATTGATTAAGGGCCCACAGGGACTGCCTGGGGCCCTGCAAACACGTGTCAGCCTAGAACAAGGGAAGCCTGGGAGACATGCCCTCAGCTTCAGGGACTGTGCCCTCACTGCTGGAGGGAGCAAGAGAAAGGGGGGAAAGTAAGTGTTACTCAGATTTAGTCACAATCAATCGTTATCACTGGGTGGAAAAGAACAAAAAGGCAAGAATCTATGAAAGTCTCCTTACTCAAAGGAAACTTGTAATTAGTATTTGGTGTGTCGGTTTTTACAATGAGACTGCAGTGGTCTGATAATGCCACTCCAGCCCACCGTGAGAGCACTTTCCATTTTAAATCCCTGCTTTAAGGAGCTTAATGCCAGTCATCAGTGAAATCATCTGGACCGGACTGAAACTCTGAATTTTATAGAGATAGGTATCACCACCGAGGGAATATGCTTCTTTAAAAAAACAGAAAGCCACCTCTCTCCCTTCGGTCCCTGCAAGATTGTCTTCAGTCTACCCTTCCCAGCCTTCCATGCCCTCCTGCCCCAGGCACCATGGGAGATGCCACCATCTCCGCAGACCCATTTCTCACTCAGCTTCCCCTGCAGCTTCCCTGCTCTGCCGCAGGAACCACAGGAGTCACTGTGACTCAGCCCTTCCCTGAGTCATGGGCTTGCCAGGCCTCACTCTTGGAGGACAGAATCTTGCTCTGGGAAGCATGCGGGAAGCTCAGTCCCAGCGGGCAGTGACACGGAGCTTGCTGGCTTGGCAGGCCCGTGACGGCAGGACCTCTGCTCTGATCCCTGGCGTGCACTGCACAAGCATCTTCACAGCCCATCACAATTCTGCATCCAAGGATTACCTCAGCGTTAAACAGAGCATCACAGAGGCCGTGGGAAGCCACTTGGAAGAAGATAAGCATGTAATACAATGAAGAAATACTTTGTATTCTGCCCTGCCACGTACTAGCTTGGTGATCTTGAAAAGAAGATTGAAAAATTGTGAGCTTTGTTTAAACTGGGAAACATGATACCCACCCACCCACTGGGCTTGACTATGTATAAGCTACATGATTTGGGCAAATTATTACCTTCATTAAACCCCCATTTTCCCACCTAGAAGATTAGGTTAATAATAACAACGCTTACCTCTTACAGCTGTTTGAGAAAATTCATGCAAAATTGTTAGCATAACACTTGAAAGATAGTGGGCATTTATTAAACGTTAGACAATATTAATCATTTTTCATCCATTCCTCTATTCACTTAACAAAGGGATGAGAATTAAATGAAAAAAGGGTATACAGAATGCCCAGCTAAATATCTAGCACACAGTAGGTAACTGACACAATTAATTTCATTTCCTCTTTCCCTTTCAGAAATGGGAAAACTAAGATGCAGACACACTGAAGTCCTATCATATTTAATGTTGCTGCTAAGATCTCTGGATCAAGCAAGACTCCTGCGAGAAGAAATGGAAAGAGAGAAAGGGAGGGGGAGAAATCTGAGCATCTCGAATCTGCTTTAATTGATTTACTTCAGGTCAGACGCCAGGAGCAGGGACATAGGTGGAAGTCCATTTAGCTGACTTGGAAAGCTCTGCTCTTGACCTCTGAGAACTGAGAGGTCTGTGAACTCACCTGAGTTGCTAAGGCTTTGGCCAGAAAGGAAAATTTCTCTGCTGCTTTTTCAGACCATCAAAATGAATTAATTTTCTAAATGGAAAATTGAAGTAATTAGGTTATAGATTGAGTGACATTTACTAAGGTGAAAAGCAGGGAAATTTTTATATCCTTTATTAAATGGTTATTAGGTATATTAAGCAATATGGAGTAATTACTTTTATTCCCCCAAATGTGATTATTCTTTTCATGCCAAGACAAGCTCAAACGCACAAGGATCCAGCAGACCGTGACGATGCAGAAAAGCACCAGGTCATACTATTCCCTTCTTCCTGGGACCTTGTTGGCAGACGGGGCAGGTGGAAAGAGTGGCTGCCACTCAAGTGAAGCAGCATAGGAACGTGGTTCTCAAGATGGGATCCACTTTCTACATGCACACCCTTGCACGCATGTCTCATTTTACCCAATCCGTCTGTCCAGCAAGGAAACTGCTCATTGATTCAAAGTATTTTGAATAGCACCTACTACATGCTGAACCCTGCTGTAAGGTCTTGGAGCCTACAGCAGTGAGAACAGCAGACCAGCTTCCCACCTTCAAGAGATTTGCATTTGAGAGGGAGAAAACAGAAAACAAATCGAATACATAAAATACATTAGTATGTTCAAAGATCACTGCTATGGAGAAAAGGGAAATGTACTGACAGGTGCTGTTTCAGTGAAACTTTAAGGGAGGTGAGCGATTTAGCCAAGCAGCTTAATGGGAAGAACAATTTAGGCAAAACAATCAGTATGTACAAAAGCCCTAAGATGGCCCAGAGCACAGCCAGGGAGTCCAGGACCACGAAGAAGCAGGGACGGGAGAGGGACTGAGTAGGGGCTAGGCAGTTGGAGGGAGAACACAGAGGTGGGGGACGGCAGTCACTGTAAGGACTTTGGTTTTTGTTCTGAGCAGGGAAGTTCCCAGTAAGAAAACACACAGACACCCATGACAAAGGAATTAAATTGGTTTTGGGGAACTCATTCCTCCGGCGAGCATTGCTCCCATCTCCATCTCCCAGGTGATGAAATAACACATTTGTTTTAATTAGAGTTGTCCACTGATCTGCTTCATTCTGGGTCTGGAAAAGGCAGGGGGTTGGGGGGGACACAAATAGCACCTGACACTAGGATGAGATCCATTTTTAGAATATTGATTACGAGCCCCAAAAGCAACTCCTGTGCCTGCTGATTCAAAGCTGTAATTTCACCAGGTCACTGCACCTCTCCAAGCCTCCATGTTTATATTTGAAAAATGAGTGATTGTGACAATCACATGAGGTGGTGCATTTAGAACATTTGACATTAACTCAGGACTCAAGAAATGGCAGCTATTTTTATTTAAAGAATGACTTCTTATTTCTAAACACAATTCCCACCTCCAATTCTGTGCTCTTGAGCTTTCTTGCTCTCTGGTGAAGGATCTGTGGCTCTCGTCCCAGCTCCTACCACATCCCCGTCTTCTATTTAATGCCACTGCCTTCCTCAAAGCTTTTCCTCCACTCCCTTAAATCAGAGGTTCTCCCGAGGAAGAACTGGTGCTGCAGGGCACATTTGGTAATATCTGGAAATACTCATGGTTGCGATAACTGAAATAATGTAATAAATAGCTCTTACTGGGTAGAGGCCAGGGACGCTGCTAATGTCCTACAGTGCACAGAGCAGCCCCATACAGAGAAGGATCTGGACTCACCCGGCAATCAGGCCGCAGCTGAGAAACCCTCTGCTGCCAACTGTAAGGGAGCATCACCCTTTCCTTCCCATTGTAAGTCCTCATCCACCTGCTTCTTCCTGATTGACTCTGTGTGGGTCACCATTTCCCCCACAGCTCTGGCACCGTTCCCAACACGTGGTGGTAACAGTCAATGAGTGAGGGAGAGTTTGTTGAAACAGAATTGTATGGGAGCAACTTTATCACATAACTCCTTCTGAAACCTGCTGAACAAATTGCCAGAGATTTAGGTTCCCACCGAAAATTTCCATATCAAGTTCCCTCAATTTCTGAACAGTTTCAGACCCTTGTACTCTAAGTGGATAAAATAAGATCAAATTAATTAGTACAATCTCTTGAAATTGTTTTCCAACACAACAGGAAGGTCTTAGTAGAGAAGAAAAACATGACAGATTTTAATTTAAAACACGATAGGAGGCACAAAATGCTACCAGAGATGGTAGCCTTGTTGGCGTGAAAGTGGCTGTCCGAGACTCTGCTACCCTGAGGCACCACCGCAGTAAGGCTTCACGGAGCACACAGCTCCTCTTCACGAGAAGGAGGCTGGTCCATGCAGCAGCTCCACCCATGTTGAGTGCATGCAGGAGCGATGCGTGGAGCCGATGTCAACCACCACTTGCCCAGCAGCTGGTGTCTCTTTGCCGTGCTTGAAAATCACAACCATATAGGCTGGTCCTGCCCTTTTCTTTCCAGTTTATGCAAATATCAAGGTTCCCTTACTTTAGAGAAATGTACCATTACTGCACAAATAAGGCATACAAAAGAACTTGGAAACTAAGGAGCCTCATGAGACAGAAGCTCAGAGTCAATACATAATGAGTAGAGCCGGCTCTCTGAAAAGAAGCCA